GATGGCAGGTGACCTAGAACTGCAATCGAGCGAAGGGAGGAATGCGTCGATCGACTTACTCATAGACAGACGTACTGAAGAAAAACAGCATCTCTGCGTGCAACGAAGCATAGCACGGTTAATGTCGAGACGATCAAGATTCTGTTGAGTGGCGATCGCCATAGTGGAAGAGGTTGTTGCGTTTTTGAAGGAACATATACTTGAGAAAAAAAATAAGCCATAAAACCGAAAATTTGCAAAAAATCAAGAAATGCAAGATATAAAATAGCATCAAAAAAGCGAGGGATGCGATGAACTCACTGACTGCGTCCGTTTGGCGAATGTCCCTCATCTGAAACAGAAAACCGGACGGTCAGCATGAATGCATCAGAAGTAAATTAAACATAAACGGTACCTGATCGTCGTCCGAACTACTGGCCGGATGCGGATGCTGCTGTTGTGGAACTGGCAGTGGCTGAGGATCGTCCAACTTTTTCAACTGGGGAAAGTCAGTTGCCAACGTCGTCGAATTGGCGCTCGCGTCGCACTGCCGACTTGGAGTCGATCCCGTCACTGGAGGCGCTGTTGTCGGAGCCGCCCCTGCAGAGTCTGTACTGTGCTTATTCAAGCAGCCGCCCATGGCGCCAATGACGATCACTAGTCGATCGATCCACCGGTTTTGTTTCGTTCGGTTTTCAGTAAGACTTCTCGAGAAAATTGACCAATGGTCAGCGGGCTCGGTTTCGACGGAACGGACGAAGGACGGAGTAACAAAACGTCAGACAACACTCAGCAGAATATTAGTAGCCAGAGGGTGAGAAGGCCTGATTTCTCTCGTTGACAACTAACGACACTTGTGCAACGGACCTCTTTTCGTACACTGTGTTCACGATCGTTCAGCTGATGTCTTCTCTTTTTCCCTTCTATACTACTTCCTGTGGTGGTCGATCGTGGTCCCCGTTTGATCACGTGAATCTCTGGGTCAACGAATAACGTGACGCACCGTTGTCAGCCAGCCCACAGGTAGATCACACGGTAGCCTACGTGTATGTGTGTGTGTGTGTGTGTG